AAAGGACGACGACGAGTTGTGGCTTGGTGCTGAGAATGGCAATACTCAATGACGATGCCGGCGAAACGTCCGACAAGGTACCAAGTTCACAGTTTGATGCTGGAAAGTATCATGACTACTCTGGCAGAGGACTTCGGACAAGGAGCATTCATCGCCTTGACAGCACATCGTATTAGCGATAATTGGGTTAAACCACTTTATCGCAATTAATTAAAAAAAAACTTCAACTATCTGTAACGGCATCTCCGTAACCCGGTCGGGCTGATTAGACTTCTTATGCAAGAAGTGCTGACGGTTTCGATGCCAACTTTTTTGGTCTACACAATTTGTTGAATCCTATCCTCTCGGGTCGAGGTCGAGGAGCCGATCGGGCCAGGGGGAGGGATTTGAGGTGTCAGTGGCAGCTTCGACGAGGCGGTTCACCGCGTGCCCTTCAGGACCATCATCGAGTGTATGGAACTGGCGGATAGGATCCGGCCTGAACGATAAAACAGTCTCCAAAATGGTACTGCATTGTGAGTGACAGCCCTGTCGACCGAGTGTGTAAATGTGGGTATAGGTGCTTGTGCCTATGTTAAATGTGTGTATGTATGTATGTGTGCGTGTGTGTGGGGCGTATTGTATATATTGAGTGTGTATGTGCAGTGTATGTGTTGGTTGTGTTCGTGTGTATGTATGGCGTGTGTGTGTGAAGTGGAACCACCGTTTGGACAGTTGGGCATGCTGTCGTGTCTGGCACCACGGACACGGGCACAGTCAAACCCTGCGAACTCGGAGATTTGGTTTTGTTTAGCAGCCGGTCGTCCGGCCGACCGGCCCACTTGGCCGATTAGCCCCAGCTGAAGTGTGATCAGCCTGGCGGATAAAGGAGGCTGGCAAATGAGGCGCACAGACGGCACATTTGCTCCCATTGTCCTTGCCACCCGCCCTCCTCCTTGCACACAAACGCACACACCTACAGACACACCTACATATGCATACATTCATACATGCAACCAAACACGAGTACGTGCCTTGGTGACTTGAGCGTCTAATTGAGTGCCCCCCAATTAAATATATATGCCTTATCAGCATTGATCTGGGCAAGATAAGCGCGGCTGATTGCGGTGACTCTGGTCACTACCGGCTGGTTGCCCAGGTAGCCCGACACACCTGAATCGATCACTACGGCTTTATTTACCTTAAAACAACCAACCGTTATCCGTTCACCTCCAGGCCCATCTCCACCTCTCCACACTGGTCCATGCACAAAAGTGATGGGGGCGACTAGCAGTTGTGGGCCGGTCTAACATTTGGCCAACACACCCCAAAGATCGCTGAACAAATTATGTCGTCTGGAGACGGTGGTGTGCTCCCGGTGCCATCAAAAGTAGACCGGGCCCACGGTGCACCAAGGCGCCAGCAGAAAGCCAACTGACGAAAAGGTTAAAATGCACTCATACTACTGGTACAGCTAAGAGTAGTAGGTCAGAGAATCTCGTCATCCGAGTCAATATTGGAGCAATTAAGGCTATTTGCTGTGTCGATGGCGTCTTATGGGAATGTAAACCTTCTAAAGGCGACTACTGACCGAGAAACCTTGCAAGAGACAATAAAGCTAAAAATGGCGGCCCAGCTGATGCGGCCCTGTTTAACCTCGTTTGCCCAACTCTGTGTCCTCTGCCATGCATAGTCAGCGCCGCACCGTGGACTTGGTGCATTTGCAGAAGTTTTGCCGGTATCGTCAGCCATAGCTGCAATCTATCAACGAGGTAATCCACTGGGAGGGTATCAAGTCACCGGTCTGATGCTGGAAATTGTCACGACTGCTCTGGCAGAGGAGGCTGGTCTGGGTGGGCGCCACAAGGTCTCCTTACCGCTCCGATCAGGTTGCAAAAATGAGGCCAAGCCGACATTGTGAGGCTCCCGCATACTCACAACTGGTATGACGACGAAAGGGGACTGTGAAAACAGAAGCCTTGAATTGAATATATGAAGACCAAGATGTTGTGGCCTCTGGTGTGGTCGCAGTCTCCTTTCGATTTATAGAAG